CTGATATATTAAGAAGATAATAAGATATATAAGATCCTTTTTTATCGACTAACAGTTAATGTATTCTTAAACTATTTATTTGAATATCAAACCATTAATTATTAAATCTATTGTATTTATAAATAGTTGAATGGAATTGTCATTAATTTTTAAAATGCATCTTTATTTGATGTTATTTTATTCATTTTAGCATACAATACATATTTTTTCACATGTTTTAGACGGATTGAAGTATAACTATGTTATATGCATGAGTATATAAATATATCAATTACATATAAAAACAAATTTCTGATCATACATAATTAAAATTATATATGAATATTTTCATTCATAACTATTATATATAATTTTATTTCGACACATATTTTGGGTGGTCGGTATAGGGAGATGTATATAAATTGCCTAAAGCTTTTTGGAACATGGTTTTTGCTAATCCTATAAATATAAAATATTTTTCTATCTTATTTTTTTTAAAAAAACTTCGTGCTCCAGGTATATATATATATATATATATATATATATATATATATATATATATATATATATATATTAGTTAATATTTCATTAGTCATATTTTTTTATATTTATATCGTTTTTTAATACACCCCATACCTGTTACTGAAGAGTGAAGTAGAAATGTTACTTATTCAAAATGAGATTTTTCCTTTCCACACTAGCATATTCATGAACAAAAATCTACATATTTGAATTAACCTATATGCAAATAAAAATAAAACACCTTTACCATACTTTATTTTCCATTTGCATTTAAAAACATTTTGAAGTCAAAAGCATTCCTTATTATAGTAGACATATTGTATTACTGTATTATTTTTTTAATGGATTATTTGAAAACTAACTCAACACGCATTTACCCGCTAATTTTGTTTCCTTAAGGTTACATAAATAAATTGCTTTATGTTCAAAGAAATATCTTTACTAAGAAAGGTTTAGATATATAATTGGGACTGATTATATATATATATATCGTGCCTAAACGTTATATTGCATCGCATATCAGTATTTTATTGTAATTTTTATTTTAATGATTTTAATATTGCATTTTAGAGTCTAGTTTTTCTATCATTTCTAGTTTCATAAAACTTTTATTATTAATATTATTCTGCAAAATTATAAAAGAGATTAGGAAAATATATTTAACTCACAGATTTATGAATGTGAATGTATAAATTTAAGATTTATATATATATATATATATATTTTCTCAAGAATAAATTTCTCTTTTTAATATAATAATGTGTGTATTACACATTCTATAAAATTGATTGAATTCTTGAAAAAAAAAGACTTTTTTTCTTCTGAAATTAGGTTTTTGAATTTAAGACAGTAAAAATTTGGGTCTATTTTTATTTACATGGAATTAGTACATAAATCTGGGTACGGACCTGTTTAGGTAGTAATTTTAGTTAGATGGAAAAAAAGATAACTGAGATTTAAGGCACAAAATTGAGTCTGAAATCGGAAGAACTAAGAAAAGGATTACTATATTTGTGTTAGTTCCTGAAAGACTTCTTTCTTTCTTGGAAAAACTTTTATCAATATACAAATATATTTATGTAGCCACAATATACTACAAGGGATTATGGTGACGAACTCATGACTGGTGTTGTTTTATCGAGACGTGTTGCTTACAAACTCCCATCGTGCAGATAATCTCATGCACGGCTAAATTTGTCGAGACTCAAGCTTCTCACGTTGGTGCGATGTGTAAATTTGGAGAGAGGGGTTCTAACTCTGGTGTTGTTTTCGACACTTGACCTAGGTTAAGAGTTTCGAGGACTGTTGTCAATAGTCTTTTTTGTAGCTTCAAAATGCGGCTTTAGTAAACAATTAATCAACCAAATATATTTCCATCGTAATACTTCATTGAACCAACTGTTTAACTATGCTATATGTTGGGGGTAGGAGAAGCGAGTGAACTGTTTTTTCTGGTGGAAGGATAACTGTGTGATCCGCCCACACGCGTTTTCCCTCTTCTCTCCCACGCTTTCCTCGCCGCAGTAGCCGAGTGGTCAAGGTATCGATCGTGGCTGGCCTTGTCACGAGTTTGACCCCAGGACCACTAAAGACCCGCCGTGTAGGGGCGCGATGCATGTTAAATCTGTCGAGAGCTCAAACGTCCTCCCGTTAGTGTAGTGTAGTAGTTAAGAGGGGGGAAGCTTAGGTGTCGTCCATGTCACTTGACCATGGTTCAAAATTACGTGGTCCGTCGCCAAAAGCCCTCGAGTTGCTGAGCAGTGCGACGTAGTGTTCACTCACTCACCCACGCTCTATGGGGTCCACGCCGATCAGATGCTGTGTGCAGTGGTCAGCTTACTTTGCTGTGTGCCATTTTTCGTAATCGTTTGTGTTAAATAAATGTGCTGTCCAGAAACTGTGTGGAAATAATTTCACAAAAAAACAACACTATATTTATTGTTTTATGATTTTATTGTGATGTGCATTTTATTTTGATGTAAAATTTTGTTTGGTGTGTAAAATGAGATTATAAACAGTATTTAGCAAGTACTATTGCTAGTATATAAACGAATTTGCTTAGTTTTATGTAAAATAGCGTTTGTATAATTTAAAATATTAGACTTATCGCTGAATTTTAAAATGTTAAACTACTGGTGAATGATTTTTAAATGTTATTTATCATATTAAAAGTACTACCTTTATAATAGCTTCTTTATATACAACTTACAAGCGTTTCTGTTATATTCATGATAAGCAAAATTTAAATATATTTACACTTTTTGATGACTGTGAATAATTACCATTTATAAAATTTTGGCGAATTTATAGTGTTGATTTTTCTTCCATATTTATACTAGCTAATACGCGATGCTCGAGCTTCTTCTTTTCTAATTTATGCAAAAAATAACTGTTTTATAACTATAACTTAATAATAATAATTTATTATTTTAAAATATTAATAATTATTATTAATTAATTTAATGAATATTAATAAAACTGAAATTTTAAACTTGTTTATGAGTTGAATGAAGGAACTTTTATTTTTTAGTTAAATTCTACCGAATTTAGTTAATGTTATGTACGAATATAACATTAACATGATGAATAAAAAACTGATATCCTTGTAAGAAATTAGTAATTAGAAGCATAAAAAGAAGAGTTATCTTAGAAAATTGCCTTAATTTATTTTCTGAAACACATCTCTTTTACGTTTCAGTTTAGAAAAGGAACATAATGCGTTTTCCGCAGATTATTAAAACCATTAATGTTTCCTGATATCAACACAAAAAGATAATTTATTCATTTATTTTTACTATTTTTCACAAATTTTTCTGCTCAAATTAACACAGTTTAATTTGTCTCTTTTTCATTAAATTCCTACTATCAGCTCACACTCTCCCTATATATATACACTCAGGAACATTGAAAATAGCGACCCAAGAAGAAAGCATGGGATTAAAATGAAATTTAATACACTTAATGACACAGATGAGAGATTCACTTGATCTCAAAAAGAAGACAATTAAACGAATACAGGGTGTGCAACGACACAAATACTGGGCAACTTCCATAGCGCGTTGGACCATCTCCAGCTGCAATAATTGCCACCACACGGTCCGGCATTGAGTTGATTAGACACCTTATGTTGTCCTGAGGCAGATGGGCCCACAAATCTTGAACAGCCAACTCTAAATCATGTACAGAGTGACACGATGGCATCTTCCGTTTTAGCTGATCCCACACGTGCTCTAATGGGGACAAATCGGGGGAGCGGGTTGGCCATGGAAGACTCTGAAAATGACGTAGGAAGTCTTGAGCAACTCTTGCTGTATGCGGACGAGCATTATCTTGCTGGAAAATTGCCCCTGGGAGACCATTTAGGAAAGGTCCTACATGGGGGTGAAGAATATCATCAACGTAACGTTGGCCCGTTAAGGTTCCACGCATCACAATTAAAGTGGACCGGCTATCATAATCTATGGCCCCCCCAGACCATTACATCAGCTGTGCGGGCAGTATGACGTAGAACAGTGTGGAGGGAATTGTACCGCTCACCAGGGCGCCTCCACACCCGTACACGGTTATCATCTGTCCCCAAAACAAACCGGGATTCATCACTAAACACAACTTTTTGCCAATCTGTGACATTCCACATTGATCTGGCTTGGCACCACTGTAGACGCAGTTGTCAATGTTCCGGTGTTAAAGGGAATGCACGGAAACGGCGCTTGGATTTAAGATTTGCTTCTGCAAGGTGTCTGGAAATTGTTTGTGGAACAATTGCTACGCCTACGTCTGCTCGTTTCGTTGAACGAGTCACTGTAGGGACCACAAGTACTTGCCGCACGATCCTTCGATCTTCTCTCCTCGTGGTCTTCCTGGTCGCTCCAAACCCGGTTTTCCGCACGTGGGTACCTTCTTGTGTCCACTGCTCCCAACAATTTCTAACGGCACACTCCGATTGATCCTCCTGGCCAGCAACCTGGCGCGTCGACCAGCCTGCAGTCTTCATCCTGATGATCAGGCCTCTCTCAGACTCACTTAACTGTGAGAAATGTCTTCTAGCACGTTTACCTGGCATATTTCGCTTACCAAAGTCTTCCTACAATCGGTGGGTAATCATCACGTTTATGAATCTTTGAATTTGCGCTGGCTTATATAGATTCTCTTCTTGATTGTAGCAGCACCTCGGCGTATATGAGCATGCGTATTGGCACAAAACTTGGATCATTTGCATATCACATTACGCTGTACTTATTTGCAAAGTTTCGCGATTGTACTTAGCTTCCTTCTTGGGTCGCTATTTTCAATGTTCCTGAGTGTATACATCTTGTTCAAATTTTCAAACGTTAATGAAATATTTTGTATCGAAATACATTATTTTAAACTTGTAGTGGATGACACTTCACGTTAGTACAGCTTTTTCAAATAATAATCCCTTAATTCAATTTAATTAATGAATAAATAACAAAAATAATTGTTCAACACCCTATATAAAAAGGAAAATCGCTCGTTGTGTCCCTGTATCGCAATGGCTAGCGCGTTGGACTTGTAATCCAAGATCGTAAGTTCGAATCTTACTTGGGATAGCCTCATTTCTGAGATTGTGATTTATGAATGAATAAATAGTAACAAAAACAAAAAATAAGTTCAACACCATATACAGAAAGAAAAATGGCTTTCTATTTTGTCACTTAATATTGTGATTCTGTTATTTGTATATTCATATTTATATTAATTGTAATTATTTAATAAAAAGTAACTGATATAAAATTTATCATTGTGTTGGACCTAAGTAGGAATTGACTGAAATTTTTTTTTTTATATTACTTGTTCAAAAGTAAATTGCTGTACATTTCCTGCAAACTTTTTGAAAGAAAATACATTGGAAGTATATGGTATAAAGCTTATTTAACGTAAGAATAAAGAGATATGTATGATTTAAGCACGGTTTTTTTAACTTATGAAATTGGTTACAGGATTTTTCATTCCACTCAGCATACCATATTCATCCCCAGCAACATGTTTAATCTATATAATTAATTGGTGCATTAAGATTCAAAATTATAGATGTCCGAAAAATCTTAATTGAAATATGAATAATTAGAAACAGGTTCTTAGCTACCTTATTAATTGGGAAGATGTTTCAGGGCTCTTCTTGATAAATGTTTTCTGCACGTAAGAAACCGAGACTTGAGTTACAAATTAATGCAATAACTGCAGTTAATTTTATTTTTCGTCGAAACATTTTATTTGGGTGATTATTATCACGAGTGGTTCTATAGAAATGGACCAATAATCTCATACACACGAAAAATACAAATAACTTTTCGATAATTTTCATCGAGCCGGTCGAATATTAATTGACTTAGAGGAAGATTAATGAGGATGATCACAAATGAGATTAATTATTGAATGGAAGCAAGATTCTATATGTAGTAGATACTGAGATATGGATACGTAATAAAACTCAAAAGTTCCCGCACTGAGTCCATAACTAAAAAAATGTTACCAATTAAACTGCTAAAACACATCCACCGTCATAAAAAGACCCTTGACTAACAACACACTTTTGCCACAGCTTGTAAAGGTCATCGAAACATTTATGGAATCCATTTTTAGCCATGTCCTTTAATTCAGACTGCGATGCACTTTTAACTTCATCTGCATTTAACATGTGGGGAACGATATGTTAATTCACCCTATGCATATATGAAGGTCCTTATATGCATAGGGTCAGTGGCGCACACAAGGGGGGTCCTGGGGTTGCGGACCCCCCAAAGCCCTTGATTTTTTTCCGAATGATTATAATGCTAAGTACATAGTACGTAAAATTTAATTAAGTATTTGTTATTAATGATTAATTTTATTAATTAATGCTAATTATTTATTCAATAATTAGTTTTTTACTGTGTTTTGTTCCCGAAAATCGACAAAATCAAAAGGAGCATGATACAAGAATGGTGAACTTTCGATCACGGACCCCCCTCCCAAAAAATGTCTGTGTGCGCTACTGCATAGGGTGTATCCATTGGTATGTGACTACTGATGGTATCTCAACTGATTCTCCTATTGTTCAGTTGGGATACCCTTGTCATGAGTTCGAGCCTAGTACCGCTGAAGACCCTCCGTGTAGGGGCGCGATGCACGTTAAATCAGTCGAGAGCTCAAACGTCTTCTTGTTAGTGTGGTGTGGTAGTTAGATGAAAGGAGGGGGTGCCAACTCAGGTGTAGTCTTCGTCACTTGACCTTGGTTCAAAATTACGAAGTCTGTCTACAAAAGCCCTCGTGTAGCTGAACAGTGCGATGTTAATATGTGGACGCAGTAGCCTAGTGGTCAAGGTATCGGATCGTGGCTGGCTTGACACGAGTTTGAGCCCAGTGCCAGTAAAGACCTGCAGTGTAGGGGAGCGATGCACGTTAAATATGTCGAGAGCTCAAATGTCCTCCTGTTGGTGTGGTGTGATAGTTAGGCGAGGTGGTGTCATCTCAGGTGTCGTCATCGTCAATTGACCAGGGTTCAAAATTACGAGGTCCGTTGCCAAAAGCCCTCGTGTAGATGAGCAGTGCGACGCCAACGTTAATATCCACTCAATCACGTACGCAGCGTTAATATTCACTCACTCACGCACTCGTGTATGTCCAGAGCGTTTGTCGTCTTCGACACTTTCCCTACCTTCTCTGAAGTGACGATGCCACTCAAAAGCTTGCGTTCGTGACAATGTATCTCAGCCTAATACCTGCTTCAACGTTTCTAAAGTCTCAGAAGCACTTTTTACCAAAGAACATAAAAATTAATATCCACTCAACACACACACAAACGCGATTTCTTTCAATCGCCAATGACCAAATACATTCGTCTACAAAATACGACGCCGTGGTGACCCTCCTACCACGTAATTTGGAACAAAATTTTCGTAGAAAAGTATTCAATAACACTAAAATGTTATTGTAGTTACTCTATTGAAAAAAATCTCCACGTTATAGGCTCAATCCGGAAACTGAATCCTACTGGTATAAAGCAATCAGTAATTACTTTTCTCTCTCATCATGTGAACCATTTTTCTGTAGTATTAAAAAAAGAAGTCAAGTTCACGCTCACTAAGAAGTGTGATAATTTTCACGCCTTTCTGCACTTTCCCAGAGAGGTGTTTGGGAAATCGGATCAATAAAAAATAAGTATTTCGCTATCTAGTAATCTTATTATTATGCAATAAGTCAGAATATTACAATCGCTCCCCTTATGCTCAAAACACCGTTATGTGAAACATATAATCAAAATGCTTTTCTTACCTATAATTGATAGGGGACTGGCTACGCTCGGAACTGTGATTTTAAAAAAGCGTATAAATGGATATATATATATATATATATATATTGATATTTAGGGTTATCCGAGTTAGAATACATATAATATAAAATTGCCTTAAGATTATTATTGCAAGAAAAAATGATTTAAATGCAATTTTTTGTCAAAAAATGACACATATTTCCAAAATATTCTCTTTGTAGCTCGCTTTTATTACCTTCATCTGTATGTAACGGAATCTTTGAACTCAATTTTAACCCACTTTAAAAGATCAGATTAATTAGGAAATTTTACTCACTTGTCAAGAACCTAAGACAATAGAATAATTTATTAATTTTGTACCATTGTCCTGATCAGGATCGTCAGGATTAAAGATTTCCTATTTCCAAATTTGGTAACTAATTCCAGATTTGGCGACTAAAAGATTAAGTTACAATCCTAAGGCGAAACAGCTCATGGTTAATACAAATACAACAAAGAAGATTAATTCATAAATGAATAAATGATAGTTTAAAAAAACTAAAAAAACACGCTTTTATTGTAGATCGAATGAAAACTGAATAGTAATTTTAAAAAACTAAAAGACACGATTTTGTAGCTAACCGAACTGAAAAGTTAAAAAAAAAATAAGAATAAAATGATTAACGAGAAAATTATAATGTCATTGTGCCAAAAGTGTAGGATGCTCGATATTAATTGTTATAATTTCCTACTAATTCTATTTCGAAATGCTAAGTTAGTGTACAAATGTAGTACAAAGCACCCCTCGCTTTTACCACAATGACATTGATTTTCTGTTAATCATCGTATTCTTATATAAAGAATTATTTTTTACTTTTTAGCTCTATTAACTATAAAAACGTGCTCTTTTTAGTTTTTTGCACTGTCATTTATTATGAAAAAGGTTCCTAAAGTAATATTTTGCATATATACTTGTATAGCAAGGACATCTATACTGGGTTGAATTGAAGTTTTTGAAGTATGCAATATCGTTTCAAAATGGGATAATTTACATTTGAATATATCAGATTGAAGAATTTTTTTTTAGAAAAAAACACTTTATTATTTCAGTTGGTTGTAAATAATGTGAATTTTTCAAGTATCACAGTATAGAAGTCCTATCTATATATAGGAACAATATTATGGTTGAGTCCTAGGAGGACCCACTTTTGGTTGCCAAATTTTTTGTCGCCAAATTTTGAGCGATAAAGGTTACAATGTGGTAACCCTTCCATTTGATCCAAAAATTTGGATTTTCAAATCACCGAAAAAAATGGCAACCCTAAAAAAAGTGCAACATTTTTCGCCTTTTCCGAAAAAACGTCTTTTTGACATTTGACTTCGCTTGAGAAGGTTCCACCGGTTTTTGTTAAGAATGGCTTGTGAAAGGAAATTACTTGAAAGTGAGGCTACGACAGGTTTCTTTGTGCTCCTGGGCACAAAGGGGAAGAAAGAGACGTTAGAATGGTGTATGAAAGCTAATTTAATTACTTCTCGTTATGAATGTCCGAGGTGTAAAAAAGAAATGCGTTTGCAAGAGCGAAAGGGAACGGTTGACGGCTACGAATGGCGTTGCCGCAGCCAGTCGAAAGATAATCCCCACGACGTCGTTCGGAGTGTGAGAAAGGGCACTTGGTTTAGCGAAAGCAAACTTGCTATAACTATTATCTTGCGTTTGACCAGATATTGGTTCGGCAAGAGCATGAATGCGTTCGTGGTGATGAATGACTTGAAAGTTAATAAGAATAGGTCACAAGCTGGTGGATGACAATTTTCATGAATTCCTTGCATCCATCGCAAGGGTGTATCCACCAACGGAACATGACGAAATGCAAGCGTAAGGTAAGTGCCTTTTAAAATTTTTTAAAATGATTGATTTCATGTATTTCTTCGATTTTATCTTTGCGAAACGCCCCTTTCGTCCTTTTTTAAAAATGTTAATCATGTTCTACACACTGGTTTTAGAATGCTTTTTTAAAATGAATTTCATTGCTTTCTCCGTTTTTATCTTTTTATAATGATTAATTTAATGTATTTATTCGATTTCATCTTTGCGAAACGCCCATTTCATCCCCCCTTCTCCCCCCCGCTGACACATACCCTTCCCAAGAGTTTTTCGTCATTGACGCCTTTTTGAAAACCTTAAATTTGGCGCTTTTTGGCGCCAAAAACACAAGTGGGTCCTCCTAGGATTTTACTCAATATTATTATTATACGAGCATTTTCCATAAAAGGAGGATGTTTTGAAATTACGTTATTCTTCCTTCTTTTTTTTGCCAA